ATATACACACACACACACACACACACACACACTGTTTTTCCCTATACATACATACTGTGATTAATTTATAAACTAGTCACAGTAAGATATTAACAAGAACTGATAATAAAATAGAACTGTTAAAATAATATTACTATAATGAAAGTTATATGAATGTAGCATTATTACATAAAATAAGGGTAACTTGAATATAAGTACCATGATAATGAGGCAGTCGATCTGATAACCAAGAAGGCTGTCAAGCCCCAGCCGGGTGGCTCAGTTGGTTGGAGTGTCATCCCGTACACCAAAAAAAAGGTTGCAGGTTCAATTCCCCGTCAGAGCACATACCTAGGTTGGGGGTTCAATCCTGGCAGGAGTGAATACGGGAAGCAGCTGATTGGTGTTTCTCTCTCTTCCTCTCTCTCTAAAAAAAAAAAAAATCAATAAACATATCCTCGGGTGAGGATTGAAAAAAAAGAAGGCTACCAAGTAACTAATGGTCAGATAGGGTGTACACTGTGATAAGCTGGGCAAAGAGATGATTCTAGTCTGGGCGAGATGGAGCAGGACAGTGCAAGATAGCGTCATGCTACTCAGAACGTCACTCAGTTTAAAATGAATGCATTGTTTAGTTCTGGAATTTTCCATTTAATATTTTCAGACCATATGTAACTGAAACTGCAAAAAGCTACACCATGGATAAGGAGGAACTACTATAAAAGAGATAGTTGTCTTTCATACATACACACAAACAAGCACTTGAGTTTCTCCTTTCTTTCCTGCATAATCTGAGGATTATGCTATTTAATAGTGGCTTGCTAATCCCTTTAAATAGCTCTTAACGTAAGTATTCCATAGTTTTCATTAACCATGAATTTTAGGGTTTTTTTAAACCTCCATTCAAAAACTGTATTTGGTTGTTGTTTCACTGGAACCCTTTTAGCCTGGTCAGTGAAGCAGCAAGCCTACTGCAAATCCTAAATAGCATGGTGTAGATGAGCGTCTAAGACTTTAATTATATGTCATTTTATTCACAACACTCAATTCCAGGAAGGAAAAAATGACTTTGTTGTTGTAAAAGACGTATGATGTGAGTATCATTCATTGTAAACCAAAAATGATACTGTATTATAGCATAGACAACAATGGGAACTGATTCTGAAAATGTAACCTGTCTGAGAAGCTGAATAATAGTGAAAGTTATCAAAATGGAAAGAAGTGTTAATGTGAAATGCAGCCTTCTCAGAAATACTCTTTCCTGGCCTGTTTGATTTTGCTTTTGTTGCTTGTCATGCATGAATGAAAGTGCTACACTCTCAGGGGAGCAGGAAAGCCTCTGTGTCGGTTGTTTATTTCCTTAATCCCTCCTCCTTTGTGATTTCTGATGTCAGATCTAAAATGGAAAGCCTGTAAATATAATGATTATCACATGGATAATCACCTGCATTAGGAACCGCCCTGCTTCTCTATTCTAACCTTCCCTGTTCTCCACATGACACATCCACTCTGCGGTTGGATTTTAACCTGACTGCTTCATTAGGTTTGTGAAACTCAGTACGTGGCGCCCTGGGGCAGCACAGATGGGGACTTGCTTGTTTTCTTTTCTCACTCTTACTGCAAAGGCACACTACAAAGTCCTTTTCAATTTAGTGTGATCAGTTCACTTGGAATTACTTTTGATATTTGGAATGGGCCTTACTCTTTGCCCACTTCTCCCTCTTCTAACCACTTACTCTTCCATGTCCCTTTTTCTTCCCTACTTTCTGACCTAATGCCTTTTCTTTCTGTCCCTCCATGCAGTGAATCTGAACACTAAAATTCTGCTTAAAATTCTTGCTGGGTCAAACTGTTCCCTATGTTGTTTTATTTGTTTTGCTGAGAGGAAAATAATAAATGTTGTTCCATCAATGTATCTGCAGACACCTTTAGATCAGAGGTTAGCTGTGGTGGGAAAGTCGGGGGTGAGGTGAGCCATCTGCTTTCTCTAATGGAGTGACTGGGGCACCCGTCCAAGATCAAAGGAAGGTGAGAGGAAGTCAGGAGATAAGATCTTTTTAAGTCATAGAACAAGTGCTTTAGCTTTTCAGTGATAGGGCACAGTTCTGCAAATCTGTGTGAGGGGGACGTTAAGATAGAAAACTGAGTTGACTTTTCTTCAGCATGTCCTTCCTCAGTCAGAAATATGTTAGCACTTGCAATAGTTTACAGATGGACAAGTGTCCTAGTGCCTGGCTCCCTTAAAGAATAATGATCTGACATTTATATGTGTGTCTTGCAATTAGTCAGTTCTACTATACCATAACAGGTCACAGTTAATTACTTCTTAGGTTTGTATGAGTAAATTTGGACATTAAAAGAGCAATTTAACTACCATATGTGAACTTTGAGTTTTTGTGTCTTAGTGCAATTTTAGTCATACAGATTCTTCATATTTGTCTTATAGGTCTTTGGGGTTCTTTCATGCCTCTGAAAGTTGCATATAAATAAGTATTTCTAACAGAGCTTTTCGGATATCTTTTTCTAAATTTTTTTATTTATTGAATTTAGAGAGAGAGATATCTATTTGTTGTTCCACTTACCATGAATTCATTGGTTGCTTTTAGTATGTGCCCTGACTGGGGATGGAGGCATATTGGGATGACACTCTAACCAACTGAGCTACCCAGCTAGGGCTCAGTTATCGTTTTCATATAAGAATTAGCTTGGTGCTCTGGCTGGTGTGGCTCAATGCTTAGAGTGTCAGCCTGCTCACTGAATGGTCACGGGTTTGATTCCCAGTGAGGGCATGTACCTGGGTTGCGGTTCGCTCCCCACCCCCAGCTGGGACACGTGCGGGAGGAAACTAGTTGATATGTCTCTCTCACATTTGATGTTTCCCTTCCTCCCTCCCTCTCTCTGTGAAAAGCAATGGAGAAAGTATCCTCAGATGAGGATTAAAAAAAAAAAAGAATTAGCTTGGTTAATTCTTGGATTGGACAACTTGGAAAAATACTACATTGATATCTTTTGAACTTTATCCTTTTCCTTGATATCTAGGTCAGCAAATACTATTGACTATGTTGTCTACAAAATTCTATTGTATCATCTACATTACTGAGGCTAAGTCGATCACCCTATGCTTCTCTAGTGAACAGCCTGAGGAGTTATACTTTCAGCTTATCACTTCCTATCAACTTCGGTGTTCAGCTGTAATCGTCCATTTCAAACTTTTTAAACCCTCAAAATGGTTCTTTAGATTTATATTTTATTAGTATATGGGACCATCCGTGCATACATACTTTTCCCCCAGTGTTTTCCTTAACATGTAGATAGGACCCAAATCTGTGCTGGAGACATTGGCTGTACTTTCTGCCTTACATGGTTTGGTGCAGCGTTGTTTCAGTTGAGTTGGATCTGCTCACTACTTGGACTCAAATCCCATCCTTCTATTAATATCTCTTGGCAGAGATAATTTTGGAGGAATGTAAGTTAAGATGTAGAGGCTCTTGACAGTTGTCTGCAGTTTTTTTCATTTTCAAGAGGGAAGTAGAGTTGAAAAGTGATATTGCCTCCATTTTCTGTACTAGTCCTAACATTAAAATACATGCACAAAGCAGAGTAGAGAAAGGGAGAGGATTTGGTTGCATAGAAGTGTTTTTGTCATTTGATACCCTGTTGCAACAGCATTATGGTGTATAATAATTGTTCATCAGATTGTACCCTAACGATGTTTAATTCTAGAAAAACATTGCGTATTTTAATTATATATTTTTAATGTTCAACTTTTGTTACCCTGTCATCTTACATCAAAGTAAAATAGGGATTTATTTGGACTGTTTCTTTTAATTTTCAAACAGTCAAAAAAGTAGAAATACTTAATACATCTAGATATAATTAATATGTTGCCATTTTGCTTCACTCTAATTTTTTTAAGAATTCTAAAGTAAATTATAAGTATCATGCCATTTCATCCCTAAATACTTCAGGACTAACTGCTAAAAATTAAGGATATTTTTCTTATCAATTTGATAATTCTTAATATTATCTAATTCTTAAAATATTTAAATTTCTTCAGTTGTCCCCAAAATGTCTTTTATACCTGGTTTATTCAAAACAGAATCCAGTTAAGGTCTGTATAGTATTCTTGGTCATTTTCCCCCTCCCACTTTATCATGAAATTGACTTATTGAAGAGACCAAGCTACTTATCCTGTAAAATGTCCCATCTATGGATTTGTCTGTTTGCTTTCTCAGTATATCATTGAATTTGTTCTCCTATTCTCTGCATTTCCTATAGACAGCAAGTTATATAATTAAAGTTTTGATTAATTCATTAAAAAAATTTTCCATCAGAAAACTGTATAGGTGATGCTGGATACTTCATACTGTCTCATAATAGAATATTAGTGACCCCACTATTAATGATAAGTGATATGATCAATCACTGGGTTAAGGTTATGACAGCTCGTTCCTTCCATTATAAATTTATAGTTTGCTCCCCGTGATCAACACATAATCTGTGACATTTTAATTCCATGGAATACCCAGTTCCCCATCATCCTTTCACCTAATGAATTTAGCATCCATTGATGATCCTTGCCTGAATAAATTTCATTAGAGATTGCAAAATGGTGATTTCTCTTAATCAATACATTTACTAGCAGACATTCTTCTACAGAAGAGCTTTCTGAAAGATACTGTTTTAATTAAAAACATAAGCACCAGGCGTGTTCCATAGGTTTCAAATAATTGTCTTTCTTTGTTGGGGTCAAAACACCTGAACTCACTGTGACAGCTACAGTAAAAACATTCACTACATCTTCTTTATTCCAACTTGTGAAGTATGTTGACATAATGTTGCCCTTTTTTTTTTATGCCAAGGGAAAAAGAAATCTTTTTTGGTGTAAGAATAAAAATTGAACTATGTGGGTATATTGAGATAATTGTGTAAAAAGAAGACTGTGAATGAGTTTCAAAATGGATTATTTCTTCATTACCTCGCACTTTATAATTAACTGTTCTTTTTTTTTTTTATTTCAGGAAGCTGCCACTTTTGCTAGAGAGCAAGGCTTTGAGGTGAGTTAACCCACAATTGCACACTAAACAGATCCTAAAGGTTTTTTCTAGCTGATAATGAAGTTCTTTTGGACAGTGATTGATGTGCTATTATACTCTCAGAGCCTCTCAGCAGTTGCCATGGAAACTTGGCAGTCGTCATGGTTTCTTTGTTCTGCCAGCACAGTGTTATGACGCACTCTGCTAGGTCTGCACCCAACATCGCCTACAGATGTTATTTATTGAATTTTGAAAAGCCTCTTGGGAAGCCAAGAGGTTGGGCACGGTTTCAAGCTGCCTCTGCAGATATGGGGCCTGTCAGTTTGTTCAGTTAAAAAGCTACCTCATTAGCTGCATTACATTTCATAAGGATTCACTGCTAAAGTAGTGGTGGAGCAAGACTAAATAGTGAAATGTAATGTCGTTTAAATAATTTCAGCCCTACCCTATGTAGATGATCATTATGCAAATTAATTTCCAAAAGATTGTACTTAGTTGTTAAGAACTGATTAAGTCCTGCTCATATAAACTTCCTCTTTAAATCTTTTTTCTCCTTCTATCTTTTTTTGGGGGGAAGGGGGGGCGGGCGCTGGGGATAGCTTTAAAACAATTGTCTTTAATTTTCAAGTCCTGACTCTGTTATCTTGACATAAGTATTATTCTGTCAAGGTTCAAAATTCCATGTGTTTTTTGTTGGCAAAATTAAGATAACAGACAAGACCATGTTTTTACCTATAGACTATCCATTTTCCAATCGATGGCTAGAAAAAACTGAACCCAGGTTAATTAACAGAATTTACTGAGTTTATGAGTTTTATGGTTATCATATTTATTGAGCCAGAACTATGTAGAATGCTGTGTTCTGTACCACAGCTTGGAATGTTGCACAGTAGTGTAATTTTCAAAAATCTAATCTGACTAGAGCTGGAATATAGAAACTCTTTATTTACATACTCAGTGTTGATTGCTATATTAGTAAGTTCACTTTGAACTCTTTAGAGAAAGGTGTGTGAATTTATGAAGAGACTATTATTTAAATGTACTAAAGGCAGATTCATTACTGAGCAACAAAGTAATACATGAGCATGTTATCTATATCATAGGACTTGGCAACCATCCTGCTTTCTCTTCTTGGAGGAAGACAGTGAGCATGTGGTATCAGTAGTCTATTCTCAAGATTCTGTGAAAAAACTACATCAGAGTAGGAAACTTCACCTTATGATACCTGATTGTTGGGAACTCCGATAGTTTATTGCGAATTTGCTTTTTTTGTTTTACTATATGTATTCTCGTGAATATAGGGGTTGAATCACATGTAGAAGAAAGAATAACGATTTCCAAGTATTTATTTATCTCATTTAATTTGTAATTTTCCAAACTGCAATTTATATAAAATACTAAATGTAATCAGGAATATTCAATTTAAAAGTCAAATGTTTTAATCATGAGAATATAAGTCAGTGTTTTCAGTCATGTTTTAAAGTTTCACTGATGTTAAATTTTAATAGTAATTAATATTAATTCTCTGTTGTTACATCAAAATTCTCCACTAATGAAAGCTTGTGGAACATAAATTTATATCTTACTTTCTGTACTAACATAAAAAAATGTATTTTGATTCTAGAAAATAAACAATTTTGTAGTTGCTTACAAAGATAACATGTTACATAACAAATGATCGTGATTCTTTAGTGCCTAGATAATAATTTTTTAAAATAGGTTACTAAGGCTAACTAATTCATACTTTTATTGCCCCCTTGAACTATATGCTTTGAATATGCCTGGTTTAAATTCAATCCTAGCAACAAACTATTTTTTCTATTTTCTACTAACCAGCACTATATTAACCTTTCCATTAGTTTTTACTTTGATTCTATAATTTTCTTTACCATAAATGTGCCATAATTGATTACAACAAATAAACCAAGTGATGATGGTTATAATAATATAACCATCTTGACATAGTAAAACCGCTCCGTTGTTGATGCTGACAGTGACATGTTAGATAAAGCACACAGTCTTGATGTGTCCCTTCATGGGTTCTCTAAACTATTATAAGCTTTGCAGAATATAGTAGAGCCATGAGTAGAAAAACCTCAAGTAAGTATTATCAATAAAATATAATCCAAGTACTGGATGCTATCTAGAGAAATTCAATTATTTTTAAATGCCATTATTTTTTTATTTTTTTAGTTCATTACACAGTAATATGAAAACATGGGTTAAAACTTGGTATTTTTAGAGTCAAAAATAAATCACTTTATCTTAGCAGTTTAATGTCTATGGGAGTATGTCAGTGCTCTCAGAAGTCGTGTGACACTAGACAAAGTCTGTATTTTATCACTCCCAGCTTAAATTTTACCTCTAAATTTGGGGCATGAATGAGATGAGAGAACTGAAAAGATTAAAAAGAAAGGAAAGGTGACCATTTTTTTCTTCCCACCAGCTCTGCTGCCTACCCTCATTTTCTATTATAAATCCTAATCAGTTCCCAATGCCATTGAGTATTGCCACTGTGATCTGTCTGCCAACTGACCAATCCAAACGCCTCTAAAAATAACCAGTGTTTATTCATAAGGAAGTATCATTGGCGGCACTGTTTATGGTATTCTGGTTAGCTTCTCTACAAATTTTAGATAATCTTTCTTTTAAAAAAAATCTTTAATCTTTAAAATGAGTTAGGCATTTTTCAGTAAGAAGAGCCAGCCTAGGAGGGCACTGGAGAATGAGATAAAAAACTGAAGCTGGGCAGAGCACAAAGCAGAAGAGAGCGGAATGAATATATATATATGATAGAAAAATTGCACAGTGCCTGATTTAAATGACAGACCTGCTAAGAATTTAAATTGACAATTCTTAAGGTAAAAAGTTTCATGAGGCTTTTATTACTCTGAAAAATCAGTTCAGACTGCAGTGTGTTTTTAAATCTACCTTATCTTGAGCTAAACTGATTAAAGGTTTGTATTTTTAGAACCTACATAAAAATAAGGTACTTAAAAGCACGTTTTATTATGAAGCCTTTTAAAAGCTGTATTGAAAATTGGGATTTAAATAAAGTGGAAAAAACAACTCCAAAACCTAAATACAAATATTTTTTGTATTTTCATTCTCTGTACAACAGAGTATGTGCCAAATGATAAACAGAATTCATACCTTCTCTACTGGATCACTCATTTATTTTTACTCTAGGCAACAAATTTTAATTTCCTTGTTTTACATTTCTAAGATATAATACTTCTGATTGTTGAAGAAACAAAGCAATTATTTTCCCTTTTCCAACTTTCCCCACAGCCCCTGACTCTACCTGGAGGTCCCAGCCAGACTTGCAGGCTTTCTCTGACCAGTAGTGACTGTCGTCTTATACCACTGGGAGAGAAAAGTATTGAACTGTGCTATCCAATACAGCATCCGCTAGCCACATGTGGCTATTTAAATTAAAATTAAGTAAAATTTAAAATTCAGTTCCTTAGTCTCACTGCACACATTTTGAGTGAGACTTCCATATTGGACAGTGTAGATATAAACCATATATATCATCACAGAGAGTTCCATTGATCAGCGCTGGATAGATAAGTCCACACAGAGGATTCAGGAGACCTTGATTCCCAAATAATTCTTAAAGATTTTTCTCAGGTTTCTGTGTTTCTCACAAATATGAAGAACACAGTGAATATTACCCAGAGTTTCTGGAAATAAGACTCTAGGTCAAGCGCTGCTGAATAAAAAGTATAGTGCTTCTTTCCTAGGTAACTGAATCCTATAAGAGGACAGTTTGAAAACAGATTAAGGAAAAGAGATAAGATGATCTTCTAATTCTCTTTAGTTAGTAATTTACTCATTCATCGAATATTTACTGAGCACTAGATACATGCCTAACACTTCGATAAACCCTGAAGGACAAGATAGAAATGACCAGAGAGAGTATTGTGAAGGAGAATGTGGGAGGGGTTTCTATTTTGAATGAGATGGTCATAGAAAGTAAAACTTGAAAAATACAATTATCTAGCCATGACATAAAAAAGCAAAACAAACAGGGAAACAAATTTCAGACAGAGGGAAGAAGAGTACAAAAGTTCTCAAACAAGAAAGAGCAGAATGTACTACGTATTGCATTCCAAGAACTGACAGAAGGTCAGTGTCACTGAACAGAGTGAGTGAGAAGGAGGAGAGTCTGAGATAGACTGGAGAGTGGCAATCATGTGAACACCATAGTTATTATAGGAGTTTCTCTTTGGGAAACAAAACAGAATATGACATGGTTAAGTGAGGCAATCTGAGGGGTTACCACAATTGGTATTCTGTAGGAATAGGTAGATCGTGATAGTATTGTTTAATGTTTGCATTACCAGCTTGTTAAAAATAGAATGAAGATAGTATATTCTTTCACTTGAAAGGCAATGCTAAATTTTTTAAATATATTTTTATTGATTTCAGAGAGGAAAGGAGAGGGACATAAAGATAGAAACATTAATGATGAGAATCATTGTTCGGCTGCCTCCTGCACGCCCCACACTGGGGATGGAGTTCGCAACCTGGACATATGCCCTGACCAGGAATCGAACCGTGATCTCCTGGTTCATAGGTCGATGCTTAACCACTGAGCCATACCAGCTGGGCAATGCTAAATTTAAACTGTTAACATAATCGCTAGTGAAAATGGAAGCATAATTTAACCAGTTAACTGCCACGCGACCAAAACGGAAACCATCTCCACACGCCATGATCTTTTGAAATAATTTAAAAAATCATTTTGCAATGAATATTATAAAAATAAATATATTACTCACAATTTGGGTGTTCTTGAATATTTTCAGCTGAAAATTCTCACGAAAAATTATTTTAAAGTTGGTCAGGGCTGCCACTTAGAGAAAACATTTTTTTTTTATATAGACGCGCATGGCATGTGGGGAAAGTGCAGCTTGCATATACAAATGCTTATGGCATACAATGGATTAACATTTATAAAATGCTTCAGCCCTAGCTGGTTTGGCTCAGAGAATAGAGCATCGGCCTGCAGACTG